TGTAGTTCTCATCCTCTATTGTCTAAACAAAATGAGATCCTACATTACAATCAACACTTTCTTGGTTCCTTCCATAATGTTTGCATTTCAGACCTATTGTATGGGTAAGTTCATCTTATCCACCTTATGCGCCAATGATGCCAACTGTCCTGAAATTGTTGTCAAGGAATCAACTTTGAATACCCCAACAGCACTTTTTCCATTCGTCTTTTCAGTAGGCCAAAGTGTACTGGCGAATTCCAGATCCTCCATAATTTGGTAGACTTGATTCGAAGTTCTTTTTGTGATAGAACTATTGCATGCAAAGTCTACGTTAGCCCTACTTATTGGATTTACACCAATGGAGAAGTACTGCGTCTGAAACCATTTCTGCAGTTCATGTTGTGGGTACTGGCGAAGTAAACCCTTATATCGTTCCCAAGCATTTGAATAGCATTCCGAGTCCAGTTGTTGGAATGTGGTGATCTCGTCCCTCAGCTTTGAAATGCTTTTAGGTGGAAAATATTTGTTAAGAAATTTCTGACTCAATTGGTTCATGTAGTGATGCTCTGAGGTGGACAAGTGTCTTACCACTCTCTGACTGAGTCTCTCAAGGTGTATGGGAAAAGCATCAGTCTGATTGCTTCACTGGATATCCCTAGATACTCGATAGCTGCACACATGTCCAGAAATCTTGATANGACAAGTGTCTAACCACTCTTTGGCCGAGTCCCTTAAGGTGTATGGGAAAAGCCTTAGTCTGATTGCTTCACTGGACACCGCTGGATACTTGATAGTTGTACACATATCCAAAAATCTTGATATATGAACGTTGGGATTCTTTGAAGCTCTCCCAAAGAATTGTAACGCATTTTGGAAAATGTTGATCATATCAGTCCTAAGGTGGAAGTTTGCCTGACCAAACATTAAATATACTAAGCTAGATTGGCTTTCTGCATCTGGTTGAACCATATACTCTCCCATTAGCCTTGCTTTTTCATTAGGTACATCCACAATCAGTTGTGCTGCTTCCAGATTAGCCTCTATGACTATTTAATTTGAATTCCTTTGCCATATCTTTCTCCTTTTGTTTTTGGTGTGTTTCCAACTGTTGTCTTTTTCGAAGGTTGAATGTTCGTTCCATTTTCTGCTCAAATTGAGCAAGATCATCGGTTCTCAAACTTCACATACACGTTCTCAAAAAATGAAGCAGGAAACATTATAATTTTCTTTAATAAAATAAACTAAAAAATAGTAAAATTCAGATTAAAGCTAAAATTAACTAATTGTATCAAAAATAGTAGTCTCCGACAACGGCGGCAAAGACTTGATCATTTGAAAACCCGCAAGTCAATGGAATCGTGATCAAATAATATAGTAGTGTGTAGAGTGTCGAGCACATTAAGACTGCGTGTTTTATTAAGTTAAAGTTAATAATATCTTTAATCGAATAGCAATAATGACTTGTAATCAATCTAGGTCTAACTTATCACGTACTAGAAATCAAAGTAAAAGTTTATCAAATTTTTGAGATGTATTGCTAAGATGTAGAATCCTTTTTGTTAATCCATTTTTAGTACAACAATTAAAATGACTCTTTGTTATCATGCGAGTTGGTTGAAATTTCAAATTTATTTAAAAACTTCTCTCGATAGCAATTAAATATGATCCTATATGTGACCTTTCTATATCTCTATAAAAGATACCAGCATATAAGAAATCATTAAACGAGCTAGAACATCTAAAAAAACCATGTGAAGCATAGAGGTATAGCACTATCCTCTATATTGAAGCTCACAATGCTTATTACTACGTGTTACCGATCTCATTATCTCTCTCGACGATAATAAAATTCACAAACAATTCAACTAATGGCCAATTAATTGAAAAAAAATCTAAACTATAATAAACATCACAACATTCAAACAAATTAACGTCAAAATAATTAATTAATATTAAAAACTTCAAACACGGATTCATCTATATCTTAGCAATATAAAAATTTAGTCTAACACAATATTGAAATTAAATACGCAAAAGTGGAACGACAACACTGAAAATTGATTAAATGTGAACAAATCTGGAATTAATTTTGTTTTATGCCTCTGTTTCGACGGCCAATTGTATTATTAAATCAAAATCTCCTCAATTTCCTGCCCCTATTTCTGTGTGTCTCCTTTTCTTTTTTTCTTCTTTTTTCTTTCTCTACCTACATGTGTGTGTGTTATGCTTCCTCTCTGTCTGCGTGTATCTTTTAATCTCTCTTACTACCAATTTGTGTATATATAATTTAAATTTCAGCAGCCAATTCCCAATTTTTTTCTCCAAAGTTTCCCTCTCTTTGCGTGTATATATTCTCCCTCTCTACCTTAATATGTATGCGTATGTTTTCTCCCATTTTTTTTTTGTCCTAGTTGCAGAGAGAGAGAGAGTGAGAGTGTGTGTGTGTGTGTGTGTTTGTCTGTCTGTGTATATATAACCTAATTTTTTAATCCAACAGTCCATCCAAGTTGAGGCTTAATTAATTAATTTTGCTTTTCAAATCCTCAATTCATTCACGTAATGCAAGTTAGTCCTGGACCTTTGAATTTTGTCATTTTTCGTCACATCTTGCTTCTTTCTTCAATTCCTTTTTCATTCATAAAATGTCACCTATTAAAATAAAATACAACATTTTAGAATATGTTTAGTCAAAAGAACTATCAAATGTCGTTATTTTAGGTTCCGAATAAGTGTATAAAATACACTTATCAAAAATATCCATAGATACAAAGCAAGAGCAAAATATTATAAACAAAGGCAATGTGTTGACTTTGATGAAACCTTTTCGCCTATAGCAATGTTGAAGTCCATCCGAATTTTACTTGCAATAGCTGCATATCCCGATTATGAGATATGACAAATGGATGTCAAAACTGTTTTCCTTAACGAGAACTTGCAAGAGGAAGTGTATACGACATAACTTGAAGGTTTTTAATCCAAAGAAGCCAAGAAGGTATGCAAACTTGATCGATCCATTTATGGATTAAAACAAGCATCTAGGAGTTGGAATCTTTGCTTTGATGAGACAATCAAAATGTTTGATTTTATCAAGAATGAAGATGAACCGTGTGTTTACAAGAAGACACGTGGGAGCGCTATCGTATTCTCGATTTTATATGTGGATGACATATTGTTAATGAGAAACGACATCCCAATGCTTTAATATCTAAAATTGTGGTTGTCAAAGAATTACATGGGAAAAGCAGTTTATATCTTATGAATTAAGATCTATATAGATAGATCTAAAAGATTACTTGGTTATCCCAGTTTTCGTACATAGATAAAATCTTTAGAAGATTTAATATGGAAGAATCGAAAAGAGAATTGTGTCCCATGTCACATGGAATTTATCTTTCGAAAGATATGTGTCCCAAAACACATGATGAGAGGAATCGCATGGATAAGATTCCTTATGCGTCAGCAATAGGATCTATCATGTATGCGATGCAATGTACGAGACCAGA